ATTAACCGAAAACTAAAATAATCGGTTATTTTCGAAAATAATATCGAAAACTAAAATAACTGATAACCGAACCGAACAAAGTCAAAATTTAATTCGGTTAATTTCGGAAAGAATTTTTAAAAATTTGGTTAATCGGAAAATCGATGGTTCAGTCCAGTTTCTGAAAACTGAACTCTCAGGCCTAATTCAGACGATATGTTTAAATTTTATGATGCTCCAGTCAAAAGAAAATAAACCAATGGGCCTACATATCATTCAGACGATATGTTTGATCGAATATTAACGGCTAACTGTCTATTTTAAAACGCAACCCATTTATCAATATTGGGCCTTTAGTATTGAAGCCCATTAACACAGCGTGTTAATGAGTTTCAAAACGTAACGACGAGTGTTAAATTAATTTCCAAATCTCATCTGGGAAAATAAATCCTCCGATCTTCATCACCATTCGAGACGAATCCGTGTATCTATCCGTTAAGGTTAAGTAGTTGTGGAAAGGAGGAGCTATGTGGAGTTCGATTGAGAATCTGAAGGAGAATTTGAACAAGATCGCGCTCGATGTCCACGACGACGACGACGACGAAGATGAAGAGGATCTTCACAGTTACGGTTCATCAAATGGATTCGCTGATGCATCAGACTCTAATCGGAGAAATTCGAATGGTTTTAGGTCTTCCAGGTCGAGGTATCCGATCTCCAATGGAATCGAATCCCCCGCTCGTCACGAGGTTAGTATTATTAGGTCTTAATTAGATTAATTGATAGAATGTTGCTTATGTTTTTTGTGATTCATTTTAGATTGAGAGGTATAAGGCAGAGATTAAGAAGCTTCAGGAGTCTGAAGCAGATATTAAAGCTTTATCAGTTAATTACGCAGCTCTATTAAGAGACAAAGAGGTGAAAGATTCTTACTTTATACATATTTTCAAGCTACCGCCTCTATTTTCTCTGTGTCCTTACACCAAAATGGGAATTTGATTACAGGATCAGATTTCCAGATTGAACCAGGAGAATGGTTCATTGAAACATAATCTGAAAGAGGCTCGAACCGAGATCAGTAATGCTGCCAAGGTAGAAACTTGAGATGTTTGTTTGCGTCAGTATGTGATTAGGTTGCAATACATATTATGTATAGATAAGAGCTATACTGTCTGAAATGTAATGCATTGTTGACACACGTGGTTATATGGTTAGAGTCGTGTTAGTGAGATTTTAGTTTGAGAGAAAGCTTTTCTTTAGGTCGTTCAATCGTAATATTAAGATTTCAGGAAGCTGGATATTGGGGTTTCTATTTAGAAAATTTTGTCAACATTCTTATCTTGATATAAGCTCGTAGATTGTTTATTTGTTCATTTTGTTTAGTTATGCCATCTTGCATGAAGGTTTTAAGCTATAAGATTTATAATTTATTTGTAATCTTCTTCAGGGAAACAACATTCAGTCACCCAACCGGTTACAAAAATCTTTGTCTAATTCAAAGACTCGAAGCCATATGTCCAATGGAAAAGGGAAGGATATCGATTTACAGATAAATGAAAAGGTAACCCCCATTGTTTATTTACCATTAGTTTTAGATAAGCGCTTTGTGGTCATGAAATTTGTTTGTTTTCTAGGATACATAATTACATACTAGAGAGATTCTTGGTAAAGTTCCAGTTTTTTTTTTTTGGGTAGAAAGATCTTGTAATATGAAGACACCATTTTCAGTTGTTTTGAAAGTGCATTTTATTGTTCTTGGGAAAAACCCAATTCTAAGTGGTAATCTGGATGCCATTTTAGGACCTTGCAGATATGCTAGAAGATAGAACCAAATCAATGGCAGCTGTTCAAGCTAAAGAGCTTGCCAAAGAGCGTGAAAAATTAAGAGACCTCCAGCTTTCTCTGCAGGGTATTTAATATTACCAGTAGTTTGATACTTCTTTTGTTATCTAGTATTCTCACTTAACTTACTTTCACCAGAGGAGCGGAAGCGGAGTGAATCTTTCAAGGCGGAACTCAACTCGCTGAGGTTAGATAAGAACAAAGTAAGTCTTTGAGTTAGGGAAGACATATGTATACATGAATCACCATCTTTAACTTACGACTTGTTATTTTCTGCAGACCTCCTTGGAGATTAGCAAAGTGCGTAGTGAGTTGGATGCAAAATTACTTGAAATCAAACACTTACAGATGAAGTTGAGTGGTCAGGAGAGCCACGCTGTAGGAACTGCCACGGAACATCTAAAAGAAGTTAACAAAGCTCTGGAGAAGGAAAACAACGAGCTTAAGGTTTACTGTGCTCCATACTGTCTTATTGTCATCCGATAACCTAATCTGACCTGCTTTCTCCTCACTACGTAGTTAAAACGAAGTGAGCTAGAAGCTGCTTTGGAAGAAAGCAGGAAGCCAACCAGTAGCAGAGTCTTCCCAGACGCCACAGAGACTCTGACTAGACATCCCAGTAATCTGGACAAGGTTCTTGAACCAGACTAGACTTTACTGTATACGAATTTTGCATTGCTATCATGATATGTAGAGTAATTACTTATCGTTGCTTCCTAAACTGTTACATATTTAACTAGGAAAAGCAAGAAAGCTTTCCTCGAAAAGAAGAACTAGAGCAGTCTTTGCAGAGGCTGGAAACAGATCTTAAGGAAACACGGCGAGAAAGGGATAAGGCTCGACAAGAACTTAACCGGCTCAAACAACACTTGCTCGAAAAGGTTGGCTACTGTAAAATCTTATTTTCTACATAATCCATTCATTTCTCCATCTGTTATTACATGCTATTATCCTTTTGATCATTATTTTGCAAACTATCTACATTTTCTAGCAATTCATTCTAAACATTATTTTCTTGATATTTTATGAGAAGGTAATATGTTTATGTTTTCTTTGCCATAATTTTACAGGAAACCGAAGAATCTGAGAAAATGGATGAAGATAGCCAATTGATTGAAGAACTTCGCCAGACTAATGAATATCAAAGGTCTCAGATATCACAGTTGGAGAGAACACTTAAGCAGGCAATGGCTAATCAGGAGGATAACAGGCTGAGCAATGACAATCAAAACCGAAAGTTAAAGGAAACGATTGATGACTTAAATCTAAAGCTTACAAACTGTTTGAGAACGATCGAGTCCAAAAATGTTGAACTTTTAAATCTGCAAACTGCTCTTGGTCAGTATTATGCTGAAATCGAAGCTAAGGTTAGCATTAGAAAACTCAAAATCTTGCCATTTTCTTCATTTACTCAATTTATTGATGTGTTCTTGTAGGAACATTTTGAACGGGAGCTTCTGGTGGCTAAAGACGAGATCATGAAGCTTAATGCTCGTTTGAAAGTAGGAATATTTTCCCTTTGTTAACTATGACCTACCATTTCCGTATTGGTCTGACGCTATTTTGCTATTGCTTAAGGATGCTGATGGGCGGTTAGAGTCATCGAATAAAGAAAAGGAAGATCTAACAGCCAAACTTGTGCAAGCCGAAAAGATTGCAGCTGAATGGAAAAGCAGAGTAAGCAAGGTTGAAGAAGACAATGCAAAAGTACGACGTGTTCTTGAGCAGAGCATGACGAGGCTTAATAGAATGTCAGTGGAGTCGGATAATCTCGTTGATAGGTACACCATTTGTACAATCATATAAGATAATTTTATTCTCCTGTCATAGTTAGGTGATGAAACCCAATTTCTTTTTGCAGGCGTATCGTTATCAAATTACTGGTTACGTACTTCCAGAAGAATCATAGCAAAGAGGTAAACATTAATTACGAGTTCTGGTTTGTTTGGACATTTCACAATTAACTCAGATGTTTAATTGCTTGTGCATAGGTTTTGGACCTTATGGTTAGGATGCTGGGATTCTCAGAGGAAGATAAAGAGCGGATTGGAGTGGCACAACAGGGAGGTGGTAAAGGTGTTGTAAGAGGCGTATTGGGTCTTCCCGGTCGCTTCGTTGGCGGAATCTTGGGTGGGAAATCAGCAGGTTCACATCCTAATGCGGCGGCTTCTGATAACCAGGTAAAAACTCCTTCATTACACTGATCCAACGGCTAAGAAACGCCGTCATAGTATCAGAACCAAGTTACACTGAGAGTAACTGATCTTTTGTGTTTTTGTATTTGCAGTCTTTTGCGGATTTATGGGTGGATTTCTTACTCAAAGACGCAGAAGAGCGAGAAAGAAGAGAAGCAGAAGAGGCAGCAGCAGCAAAGCAAGACTCGGAGAAGACAAGACAAGACGCATCGTTGTCGTCGCCTGAATCAGAATTCTCGACGGTGCCTCTCAGATCACCAGAGAGTAATCAACGGCTCTCGAGACTACTTCCATAAGATTATAAATAGAAGATACACACATACTTTACATTTTGTGTTGTAATTATGATCCCTCTCCATACAGAGTTTGTTTGTTCCTTTTGTTCTTTTATTCCCATTTTTCTCTGACGTAAAAGATGTTTTTCTTTGGCTCATGTATGTATTGTTTTGTTGGAAATTTGAATGGAAAACGAAAGAATAAAAGTGAGACATATCATCAACTGTTACTTGGTTATTACTACATTTGTAAAGAAGCCAACTAGGCTATGGAAATTATGGACACGTGTCAGAAATCGGATCAGTGAAGCAGAAGATTAATGGCGAACTCAAGTTTTTTTTTACAAACGATGGATAAAACTCATACAGCGAAAGTCTCTGACCTAGCTAGAGACTTTGTTTATGAACCGACGCTATGGGATGGTGCATAATCTAAAAGCTTCCGTGACCTAATTTTTGTGGCATCATTATTTTATCTTTACACTCGTTGACTGCTTCAGCTCAACTGTATAACACTTTAAACTATCAAAACTGGGATCAAGTTGCGCTTATAAAACTCATACAGTTAAGTCAACTCCACCAATATTTAGACACATTTTAGTTCAAATCTCAAGTTCCAACTACTTTGTCCCATCTTTAGAGACATTAATCTCGGACAAATAATCTTATACTCCTACAATTTGTTTATATACATAGTTTGACTTTATTAGTCCGAATCTCCATTAGCTAGATATGATTAACTAAATCATGCAGCCATATTCTTGTACTAATACAATATTCAGTTTGATTCAACATAAACGATATGTAATCATAGATTTAATTTCAATGCTATCAACAAAACGATATTTTTTTTTAATAAATGCAACAGATCCCAAAAAAAACAAATGTAATATTAACTTCTTATTCTTCTCCGGTCGGCGGAGTATTGAGACAACGGGACAACTTCCGACAATGGAGTAGACTGTGGTGTTGACTGCGGTGTCGGAAGTGGAGAGTTTCGGCAAACGGGACAAGAACCATTGAGTTTAAGCCAAGCGTCAAGACAAGAAACATGGAAGTAGTGTTTACACTCTGGCATCATCCTTACCATCTCTTCTTCCATATACTCACATAAACATATTGAACACGTCGTGTCTCCGTCTCCATCTCCATCTCCGCCTCGAAACTCATCATCACCTGATGCGTTGACGGTGATATCTTTAGTGTAACGGAATTTAGGGTAAGAGTTGATGATCGGTAGATCAAGTCCACCTACAACAACGTTACTAGCTGACTCAAGATCGTCACCTTCAGCTACGAATATGATTCTTGGGACCATTATGCCACGGTTACCGAAAGAAGAGTCTAGGTTTGAGGCTGTGTTGGAGGCGGAGAAGCGGAGGCGAGAGGCGCGGCAACAGATGTAAGAAGAGAGGATGATGGTGGAGATGAGGACGAGGAAGCCAAGAGCTATGGCTATGGAGTAGCCAAGGCCAAGGCTGGTTATGTAAGTAGGGATAGGTACTGGAGGAGGTGGAGGAAGAAAGGGGATGGTTGTGGCGGTTGACATTTGATGGTGAAGGAAGAGGTTAAGGCCATGTGGTGAGAGAGATGGAACAACAAGAGTGATGGAGATTATTATTATTATTTTTTTTGTTGGGAGGTGGGTAGGAAAATGTAGCTACTGCATTGAATACAAAAGTTTGGTAAAATATTGAAAGCTTTGCATTTATTAGGGTTCTTGATATAGGTTTTGGTGATATAGTGACTTCACTTTGTGGCCCAAGAATGGTCACTAATTGTTATCTTATTTTGCTTCAGCAGTTTGGCATTGAAATCCTGACATGTGTGATATTTGTTGTTTTATCATTTTTAGTTAAGTTCAGTCATGATGTTATTATTATTGGTTTAGAGTCGTCGTTTTGTAAGAGAATGCCAAATATCAGACTACTAAACTTTTACGTGTGGAAAGTTCAAATATTTCATGCCATCGTGTTACTCATAAACCATTAGAGAAGTCACTTTCTTACTTCTATATGTCTAGGAGAGGCTTTTAACCAAACAAAGGATATATGCTGGGGGCATTTGAGTGTTCAATCGTGTTTGTTTTAGGCTTTAGATTCAACTTGGTTTTAAAATCAGTCATATTCAGATATTTTTGAAGTTTGGCTTTGACGAATTTCAGATATGGTTCCGATATGATAGCATTCCATAAACCCGAATGAACCCATTCTAAATTTGGGCTTGGTTCTATTCGGTTTCGATTATCCAAATACTTATTTGTGATTAGAAAAATACACATTTTAGGGACTTTATCCACTGATTAAGTACTATGAAAATAATTTTAACATACACTAATATAAATTTAGAATGTGATTGGGTAATTTTCATCAACGATAAAGCGCCCAAACTTCTTAATATAGCATTTATAAAAAAAACTCGATTTTCTGTAGGGGGTTAGGTTAACCCACACATTTCGAGAAAAAACTAGAAAATATGAAAATTTGTTTTAATGCATATTTGCATCATGCAGTGACATAGTACGGAGATTAAAGAGGTTTGGGAAGTTAGACGTTCATGTTTCTCCATATAATAGAGTTTTTGTAGGGGGTTTGTTCACTGATTAAGTGGTATATGAAATTCAAATAAATTACATGTTGGAAAATTAGAAAATGATGTCCATGTACTAGGTAAATAAGCTTATCATACATTAATATAAGTTTTGAGTGTGGTTAGGTAATTTTTAAATAGCACAAAAGAGACTAAACTTTAGTATATATAGCATTTATTGGAAAACTCAATCTTTTCTTAAGGGTTAACCTACATATTTCAAGATAAATTAGAAAATATCATGTTTTTGTTTTCATGTATAGTTTCATCATGCACTGACATATGATGAAGATTAAAGAGGTGTGTGACCTTAGTTGTCCCTGTTTCTCCAGAAAATACAGATTTTATATGGGTTAGTCCACTGAATTAGGTGAAATTAGAAGTTTTATTAAATTATTCACTAAAGTACTAGAAATGATGTCCATATACCATGATAATAATTTTAACATACATTAATACAAATTTAGAATGTTATTGGGTAATTTTCATCAACAATAAAGGGCCTAAACTTGTTAATATAGCATTTATCGAAAAACTCGACTTTTTTGTAGGGACCCACATATTTTGAGAAAAATGAGAAAATATGAGAAGTATGTTTTAATGCAAATTTGCATCAAGAAGTGACATAGTACAAATGTTAAAGAGGTTTGAGACGCTAGGTGTTCATGTTTCTCCATAAAATAGAGTATTTGTAGGGGGTTTGTTCACTGATTAAGTGGTGTATGAAATTTAAATAAATTACATGTTGGAAAATTAGAAATGATGTCCATGTACTAGGTAAATAAGCTTATCATACATTAATATAAGTTTTGAGTGTGGTTAGGTATTTTTAAATAGCACGAAAGAGGCTAAACTTTAGTATATATTGCATTTATTGGAAAACTTAAACTTTAGTATATATGTATACCTACATATTTCAAGATAAATTAGAAAACATGATATTTTTGTTTTCATGCATATCATAATGCACTAACATATGATGAAGATTAAAGAGGTGTGTGGCCTTAATTGTCCATGTTTCTCTAGAAATACAGATTTTATAGGGTGAAATATGAAGTTTTATTAAACTATTCACTAAAATACTAGAAATGATGCCCATGTGGCATGTACCATGAAAATAATTTTAACATACACTAATATAAATTTAGAATTTGATTAGGTAATTTTTAATCAACAATAAAGAGCCCAAAATTTTGAATTTAGCATTTATCAAAAAATTCAAGTTTTTCGTAGGGACACATATTTCAGAAAAACTAGAAAATATGAAATTTTTTTAATGAATATTTGCATTCACTGACAGAGTATGAAGGTTAAAGATGTTTGAGACCTTAGGTGTTATGATTCTCCAGAAAATAGAATTTTTTTTGTAGGGGTTTGTCCACTGATTAAGTGGTATATGAAATTTAAATAAATTAGTTATTGGAAAATTTGAAATGATGTCCATGTACCATGAAACCCGGTGGCAAAGCTTCTTTATGTTGCGGTAGAAGAAGGTAATGTTTTTTGTGTCTTGTTTTGTTTTGTTGTCTGATTTATAATTTTAACATACATTAATACAAATTTAGAATGTGATTGGCTAATTTAATTTTAATCAACAATAAAGAGCCTAAACTTCTTAATATAACATTTATCGAAAACTCGATTTTGTGTATGGGTTAACCCACATATTTCGAGAAAAATTAGAGAATATGAAAATTATGTTTTAATGCATATTTGCATCATTCACTGACATAGTATGAATGTTAAAGATGTTTGACACCTTAGGTGTTCATGTTTCTCCAGAAAATTGAGTTTTTGTAGGGGGTTTGTCCACTGATTAAGTAGTATATGAATTTAAATAAATTACCTGTTGGAAAATTTGAAATGATGTCCACGTACCATGAAAATAATTTTAAAATACATCAATACAAATTTAGAATGTGATTGGGTGATTTTTATCAACAATAAAGAGCCTAAACTTCTTAATATAGCATTTATCGAAAAACTCGATTTTCTATATTAAAATATTAAAATTGTGTTTTAATGCATATTTGTATCATGCAGTGACATAGAACAGAGATTAAATATGTTTGAGGTGTTAGGTGTTCATGTTTCTCCATAAAATATTGTTTTTTGTATGGTGTTTGTCCACTGATTAAGCTGTATATAAAATTTAAATAAGTTACCTGTTGGAAAATTTGAAATGATGTCCATGTACCATGAAAATAATTTTAACATAAATTAATTCAAATTTAGAATGTGATTGGGTAATTTTCATCAACAATAAAGAGCCTAACCTTCTTAATATAGCATTTATCGAAAACTAAATTTTCTGTAGGGGTTTAACTCACATATTTCGAGAAAAATTAGAAAATATAAAAATTTTGTTTTAATGCATATTTGTATCATACAGTGACATAGTACGGAGATTAAAGAGGCTTGAGACGTTAGGTGTTCATGTTTCTCCACAAAATAGAGTTTTTGTAGCGGGTTTGTCCACTGACTAAGCTATATATAAAATTTAAATAAGTTACCTGTTGGAAAATTTGAAATGATGTCCATGTACCATGAAAATAATTTTAACATAAATTAATTCAAATTTAGAATGTGATTGGGTAATTTTCATCAACAATAAAGAGCCTAACCTTCTTAATATAGCATTTATCGAAAAGCTAAATTTTCTGTAGGGGTTTAACTCACATATTTCGAGAAAAAATAGAAAATATAAAAATTTTGTTTTAATGCATATTTGTATCATACAGTGACATAGTACGGAGATTAAAGAGGCTTGAGACGTTAGATGTTCATGTTTCTCCATAAAATAGAGTTTTTGTAGGGGGTTTGTCCACTGATTAAGTGGTATAGAAAGTTTAAATACATTACCCGTTGGAAAATTTAAAATTATGTCTATGTACCATGAAAATAATTTTAACATACATTAATACAAATTTAGAATGTGATTGGGTAATTTTCATCAACAATAAAGAGCCTAAACTTCTTAATATAGCATTTATTGAAAAACTTGATTTTTTGTAGGGGTTAACCCACATATTTTGAGTAAAATGAGAAAATATGAAAAATATGTTTTTATGCAAATTTGAATCAAGAAGTGACATAGTACAAAGGTTAAAGAGGTTTGAGATGTTAGGTGTTCAAGTTTCTCCATAAAATAGAGTATTTGTAGGGGGTTTGTTCACTGATTAAGTGGTGTATGAAATTTAAATAAATTACATGTTAGAAATTTAGAAAATATGTCCATGTACTAGGTATATAAGCTTATCACACATTAATATAAGTTTTGAGTGTGTTTAGGTATTTTAAAATAGCACGAAAGATGCTAAACTGTAGTATATGTTGCATTTATTGGAAAACTTTAACTTTAGTATATATGTATACCTACATAATTAACGAAAAATTATAAAATAAGATATATTAGTTTTCATGCATAATTTCATCATGCACTGACATATGATGAATATTAAAGAGGCGTGTGGCCTTAATTGTCCATGTTTCTCCAGAAAATACAGATTTTATAGAGGTTAGTCCGCTGAATTAGGTGAAATATGAAGTTTTATTAAAGTATTCATTAAAATACTAGAAATGATGCCCATGTGGCATGTACCATGAAAATAATTTTAACATACACTAATATAAATTTAGAATTTGATTAGGTAATTTTTAATCAACAATAAAGAGCCCAAACTTTTGAATTTAGCATTTATCAAAAAATTCGAGTTTTTCGTTGGGACACATATTTCAAAAAAATAGAAAATATAAAAATTTTGTTTCAATGAATATTTGCATCATTCAATGTCATAATATGAAGCTTAAAGAGGTTTGAGACCTTAGGTGTTCATGATTTGCTAGAAAATAGAATTTTGTTTTATATGGGTTTGTCAACTGATTAAGTGGTCTATTAAATTTAAATAATTACCTGTTGGAAAATTTGAAATGATGTCCATGTACCATGAAAATAATTTTAACATACATTAATACAAATTTAGAATGTGATTGGG